CAACAAAAGGCCAAGCTCGATACTGGTTTGGTCTAAGTCGCTCACTCAGTCTATCACTCTGCTCTTGGCAGCCCGACAAGAGCTCGAAGGAAACTGCGCACCAGAGGACATGGACGCGCAGCTCGAAACCAAAAAGATAAAACTCTAACCTCTACATACAACAATTTCTTTCCCCTCATCTGAACCAAACAACGAAATGAAAGCTAAGACTCAGATCCAGGGGTTTAGGGTCCTTCAGAGATTTGGAGGGTTTCGGTGACCCAAAGACCATGAGCTGTTCAAAGAGTGGAAACCCTGGGCTCCCCATGTAGCAATACTTAAAGTAGCAAGGATGCTCAAAAGAATGACCAGACCAGTCGCGATAAGAATGACCATGGTCGCACGGTCGAACGACAAGAACACAACAAAAATAGAAAGAGCAAGTAAACCCCAATTAAACAGCTGGCATCTGCGCCATTGGTTGGTGTGTTTTCAATTCAGGATTTGACATTGGTTGGATAGGTCTACTAAACTTTCACCGCTAAATTTCTCATGAAGTGCTTGACGCCTCCCACGGGGAAACGACCCTCAATGTGAATGACGAAGACGTGCTCTTCCAAACCTCGACGTGGCGCACTTCTCTCCTATCAAACTCGAACTTCACGTCAACATGCAATTTCCTTCTTCAAATTCTATTGTAACGACTGCTTGTTGGATGAACTGCGTGAAGTCATGTACTGGCTGACCAGCAAATGGTTCATGCAAAGCATGTGCAAAGCACACTTTTTGGACCCTTTTACATGTCCTCTGCTCGGTCGGCTGAAGGCACTTTCTCATATTAAGGCACGATTTTGCCACCTCCAGCCGACCAAGCCTTGTCAAGACGGAGAAAATCCGCGCACAAAGCACCATCAAGCTCGGTCTCATGCTGTCTGCTTACTCAGCTGTCACTACCAAATAGCTGTAGGTCAACACATGTCAAAATGCAAGGTTCTTAGGGCGATGTTCGAGCCGTGGACAAAGGCGCAAGGAGACTAGACGCACCGTGGTGCACAAAGCAGGTCACCCGTGGTGCAACAAGTGAGTACAAGTTTCAACAATACTACTGACGGTCGTCTTGACCTGAGCAGTAACTGTCTGGCCAAGATCAGGCAATACCTCTACGATCTGGCATGGGATCTGGGGATCTATTGAGATATCTTGAGAAGGACATTCCCTTCGCGGTGGTCATGGTCTCTATGGATCTTTTGAGGCATCTTGAGAAATTATCTTCAAGGTATCTATGGGCTCTGCGGATCTATTCAGGCATCTTGAGAAGGAATTATCTTCAAGGTGACCGTGTGTTCCATGGATCTATTGAGGCATCTTGAGAAGTAAATTCCCTTCAAGGTGGCCGTGGGCTCTATGGATCTATTGATGCATCTTGAGAAATTCATTCCCTTCAAGATGTCCATGGGCTCTATGGATTTATTAAGGTATCTTGACAAGGAAATTATTTTCAAGATATCCGTGGGATCTGGGAATCTATTGAGATATCTTGAGAAGGACATTTTCTTCAAGGCATCCATGGATTCTGGGGATCTATTGAGGCATCTTGAGAAGGATATTCCTTTCAAGATGCCGATGGAATCTGGGAATCTATTGAGATTTCAAGGTATCTATGGGTTCTTTGGATCTATTGAGGCATCTTGAGAAAGAAATTTCTTCAAGATGAATATGGGTTCTGGGAATCCATTGAGGGAAATTCCTTTCAAGATAATCATGTGATCTTTGGATCTATAAGGCATATATTTCTTTTGATTTCTATTGGGAGCAAACGTCTCTCTCACTGAAGATTTCGTAGTGAATTGGTGCTTTTGGGAGCACAAATCTCTTGCCCCGAAGTTCCATTCTCTCTAAATCCGGTATTCTCCTTGAGCGTAAATCTCCTCTCTCTTTTTCGATCTTAGATCGCATCATGAAGCTGGAATGAAATTCTCTTCAAGATATCCATGGACTCTATGGATCTATTGAGGCATCTTGAGAAGGAAATTCCCTTCAAGGCAACCATGGACTCTATGGATCTATTGAGCCATCTTGAGAAGGAAATTGCCTTCAAGGTGTCCATGTTTTCTATGGATCTATTGAGGCATCTTGAGAAGGAAATTCCCTTCAAGATGACCGTGTATTCCATGGATCTATTGAGCATCTTGAGAAGTAAATTTCCTTCAAGACGATCATGGGGTCTGCGAACCTATTGGGGCATCTTGGGAAGGAAATTATCGTCAAGATATCCGTGGATTCTGAGGATCTATTGAGATATCTTGATGTATCAATTCCCTTCAAGGTGTCCGTGCGCTCTGTGGATCTATTGAGATATCTTGAGAAGGAAATTTCCTTCAAGATATCCGTGTATTCTATGGATCTATTGAGGTATCTTGAGAAGCAAATTCTCTTCAAGGTGACCGTGGGCTCTATGGATCTATTGGGGTATCTCTTATAAGGATATTCCCTTCAAGGTATCCATGGAATCTATGGATCTATTGAGGCATCTTGAGAAGGAAATTCCATTCAAGGTATCCATGGACTCTATGGATCTATTGAAGTATCTTGAGAAGGAAATTACCCCCTAGGTGGCCGTGGACTCTATGGATCCATTGAAGCATCTTGAAAAGGAAATTGGTGCTTTTGGAACAGAGGACACCCTTGCTGTCCGCGTGTCGATTGCATCAAATTTCTTCTCAAGATATCTCAATAGAGCCAGAGAGCCCACGGAGTGCGCACTCCAGTGCGCACTCCGCCGGCCCTCGAGCGCGCACTCCAGAACTTGTGTTGCCAAGACGCGAAAACACGGAGAAGGTTGTCGTTTTTGCATCATCACAGACCAGAAACACGCAGAGGGTCGTCGATTTTGTATTGCAAAGACGCGAAAATACGGAGAGGGTTGTCGTTTTTTTTGCATCATCACAGACCAGAAACATGCAGAGGGTCGTCAATTTTGTGTTGCGAAGACGCGAAAATACGGAGAGGGTTGTCGTTTTTGCGTCATCACGGACCAGAAACACACAGAGGGTCGTCGATTTTGTGTTGCGAAGACGCGAAAACACGGACAGGGTTTAGGGTTTAGGGTTTAGGGCTTTTTAGGGTTTAGGGCTTTTCGGGGTCTAGGGCTTTTTAGGGTTTAGGGTTTAGGGCTTTTTAGGGTTTAGGGTACAGGGGCAACCGAAAGGGGAAAGGAATCAACCCTAACAGTCGCCAGAGGTTTCACCCTGAACCAACCAGCAAACACCAAACACACGGGGTTTCTTTTTGCTACCAAGCGCATGGCCCAGTCTTGAGCCAATATTACCGGGCACATTGACCCTTTTTTCCTTTAACCTCAACACAATTCCTGAATACAACTGCAGCTCCGCACTCCCCCTGTCCTAGGATTTCCTAGGACACAAAATTGGAGGTGCAGATTCTCGGCCAAAAACTGCCATTATCGACAGCAGCCAGCTGCTTGAAATGCATATAGTGGCTTAACGTCTTCCAGGACGGATTTTTATCAACGCATTGGTTGAACTCATTATACCATGAGGATCTTTTCACCTCTGATTATTTACTCGTCTTTGAAGACCTTTTCAGCCTTCTTCACCACGAACCGCGATCTTCGCTACTCTAAGTGCTGTACACTCTCTACTACCAGGGATTTCCCTACCCTTAATAGTAACCACCATACTTTCAGCGCATTGGCTGTTCCAGCGCACTTGTCTTCGGAAAGAGAAAACCATTCCATCATTGACACCATCCAGTCATCCCTTCTTCTTCCTCCGATTGGCGTCGATGCTTAGATGGAGTCGCAGCAAAACATGTTCCAGGTCCGATACCGTAAGAACAGGATCTTGCACACACCTTTGAATTGAGGATACCAACCCCTCTCTCTTCGCGTCCTCAATTGCTTGGCAGGATTGTCCCAGTTCTGCGTCAACAGTGGTAGATGACTGCGCATCCACTTCAGAAGGACGATCCTTTTCTTCAGGACCCTTCACCTTTGCCACCTCTTCCTTTTTTGGACTCTGGCTCTTCTCCTTCTTCCGCGTCTTTCCCGAAACGCTTGTCTTTGTGCGCGCTCGTGAAGAGGCCTTTTCCTCTCCAGAAACCACCACTTTTGTTGACGATCCACCCTTCTCAGCATTCACCGGCATCTTCTTCGGCTTTGGAACCAGAAGAGTGTATGGATCCTCACTTGCAGCAGTCTTCCGCTTCTTCTTGGCTTTTTTCGCCTCTTCCTCCACGGTAACCTCCGTCTCCAAGGTTTCCAATACCTCCTTTTTGGCAGGAGTGTCCTTCTGGGACTCCCCTTCTAGGGACCTCTTTTTGCCCCTTTTTGGATCGCTCTCTTCTTCCAGGTTAGCTCGTTGGAACCATATCCTCAAATCATCGATCCACTCTTCAACCTCCACCAGTGGAATCTCATACGACTTCACTACTTCGTGAAGTTCCAATGAAGACAGCATGCCAGTAGTCCATGAACACCATTCTGCGTCCATTTGGTCAGCATCTCCATTGAACTTCAAAAGCTTAAACACCGGATCCGCTTCCGCGCGGGCCAAATCTGACTTACCATCAGACATGTAAGAAATTGCCTCCATCAGCAATTCTATCATCCTGGTGTCGTCGTCGTACCCCATCAAATCCTCATCATCTTCATCATACCGTTCAGGAGAAATTTCCTTTCGTCTGCACGCTGCGAGGCGTAGCCACCCGAAGGGGCTGAGGTTAGAGGGTGAAACATACAAACTACAAACTCTGCACAGTGAGACTACCGGTACTAGCCCTCACTTCCCTCAGACATTTGTCGAGGCCGAAATCCATGCCCTCAGACCGTGGTCGAGGCCGAAATTCCCTCAGGTCTTGCCGAGGCCGAAATTCCCTCATTTGCACCCCTCAGACCAGAGTCGAGGCCGAAACTTCCTCAGGCAGCACGCCGAGGCGGTATTTCTTGAGTCGGTTGGTGCTTCTCAGACCACTAGCCGTGTTTCTTGTCTGGGCTACGCTGCTCACTCATCCGCTTCGTCATACGGCATGCCCAACGTGATTTTCTGGATCTCTCCTGCCGGTACTGCAAGTAGGGTTCCAGCCCATCCTCGTTTTGCAATCCCGGCATCCAGTAGGTGCTGGGCAAAAGGCCCGACATTGCCCACGCACGCCATCCAAAGCGCGCTGGCCTTTCCGTCGTACGTTCTGACCAATCCACGTATGGTTGCCAGTAGCTCCTCGTCATATTTCTCCAGGATGCGTACGAGGCCGCATGATAGCTTGTATTTCTCCTCCTGCAGCGTCGACCACTCAGCCGTGTCAAAGAACACTGCCCGTGGTAGCGATCCTGACATCGGGTCGCGCCCAACGTTGCTCACCGTGATATCCGATAGAGCAACCCCTTGCATGGTCAGCCATGACGTTATAGCCACCAGGTAAAACAGGGACTGTCTGAGGACCCCGGCTTCTTGACGATGTTCCTGCCACCATGGGTTGAACAGTTCTGCTCTGCGGATGATACTTCCATAAAAGTAGTGGTGGTAGTGGCCCTCCACCGCCTCGTCGAAAAGGACTTTAATCCATCCTGCCCACAGGGTCCTGGTCACCAGGGTGGGGAATTGTTCCCCGTACCCTGCTTCGTTGCCAAAGCTCCGGGGTTCCGTCGCAAGTTTCATGACCCACAGCCGATCCAGAGCATATCCTCTTCGAGTACGCCCAGCTCCTATAAAGGGAAGCACTCTTGGCTGTAAGCTTTGCCCCGTCGTTGGGTTGCGTACCAATTGGACCTCCCCGATCCAATGGAGCGCTGTCCTTGGCCGCTGCTGGTTCTGCAGTTTGTGCACCACAAGGTGCACTGGCTTTTCTTGCCCCGTTGCTTCCTCTGGCTCCTGTCCCTCAGCTTCCCGCGAGGCCATGTTGTGGGCACCTGGTCCTTCTGCCAGCGTGACTGTACGAGGCTGGCTTTCGTCTTCCTCTTCATCAACACCCTCAGCTTGGTGCGAGGCCGCACTTTCTTCTCCTCTCTCCCGTAGGCGTACCGGACCCGCAGGAGGTTCCGAAGCACTCGCCTCGTCCCTATCCCAAGTCTGTTCCGGGTGTCTGGCCTGTCGAAGCGGGGAACGGTCTCGCATGGGCTCATCCTGCTGCTTGTGCTTGCCTTTGCCTTTGCCTTTGTCCGGCCGATTCCTGAGCCAGGATGGCAATCTGGACCCTTGTCTCCTCATCGTCGCGTCCGTTTTCCATTGCCTCATAGTTCCAGACCTGTCGTTTCCCTCAGCGATGCCGAATGCACGCCGCACCGCGAGGCCGAAAGTATCCCTCAGCAAAGCGAGGCCGCCTCAGCTTGGCGAGGCCTAACAAACAGTGACATCTTTTGCTGTGCACTGGCTTGGGGCTTAGCTTTGGCGTGTTTTCCACCAAACTGAACTCGAGGCTGTTGAAACTGGACGTGGCTCATACTACCACCATTGACAAGGGTTTGCGCTTGGGTAGCCAGCTTGCCCTGGGAAGTCCGCGATTTGCACTCACCCGCCAGGCTTTTATTGCACCTCTGGCTAACCGGCGCATGTGTTCTGTCACACTTTGCGCAAACCCATCGGATCCCCAAATTCACCATATTATGGGAGGGGTGGATTCCCCACTCTTCCCGCACACGCGCCTCCGGCTGGTTGACGCAGTACTGCTCCAATACCACCTCCAAGTTCGTGAGGGTTTGTTGTACATACAAACCACACAGTCGGCATTTCAGGGTTAAATTCCGGGGGTGTTCGCTGCCCTTCTCCCATTGATGCCCACGCTCCGGGTTGTCAAGCAACTGCCAAAGCCGCTGGCGTTTGTTGAGTTTGGCTCCGCCATGCTCTTTTTTGCATCCCTCAGCTTTCTGCGAGGCTTCCATCTTCTCTTTGTAATGCGCATGGTCCAGGATGAAGGGGAAGTCTTCTTCTTTGCGCTTCCGCAATATGTGGGCTGCGCGTGCACCGTACGCCAGGGAAAGTGTGCGCACCACATTGTCCAACTCTTTGACACGCCTCTTGTGCGCTGGGCTGTAAGCAGCCGCCGCCACTGCTCCACATACTTTGTCTGCCATGTCATTCGCTGCACGTCGCCACAACGTGCCCGGCCCCATCTTCGCCAGGAATTCCTCTTCAGTTTTGTGGGACGGGACCCATGTTGCCTTGATACGTTTCCTGTCATTCCACACTTTGCTCCATTCCAGGTCATCCTCCGGCGGTTGTGTTTTTTGTAGCGCTTGGACTGCCGGCTTGCAATCCATAGTGACATCAATCAGATCCTCCGTGTGCTCCATTAGTCGGAAAAGTGCACGGCGCTCCATGTCCACCACCGGCTGCCACGGGTAGACCAGCTCTGTAATCCGTCCGACTTCCACCAGCACACCTTTTGTCCAGGACATAGCCACCACTGCGAGGGCTGATGTTTGTACACGTGGGTCTATTCCTCCTGGACCTCCACTTGCGTCAGTGGCGAAGATCAAGCCTTCCGCTTCCACTTTTGCATCTGCTGCGAAGCATCCTTGGTAGCGCAGACCTAAAAGGTGTTCCGGCGGCTTCGGGTGCCACACCGCCGGCTTTGGCAGGAGTGCCCTTGTCCACAGACACTCCCATGGGTATTTGTGGCGCAAGTATTCCTGGAGCTTGGGTTCTTTGAACCCTTGTTCACGCCAGTAAGGACATTCTTTGAGGACATGCTCCAGAGTTGCTGGCATTTGGCACTTCTTGCACCATCCAGGCTTGGACTCCGTGATGACGCCCGCGTGCCACACTGACTTTATACCTTCCATAAGGCCTGGGCTTAGGCCTCCCAGCTTCGTCAGCTTGTGATGCGGCGTCCAATCCAGCCCCTCTTGGGCACCAGCGCCACCTGCCTGTCGCGCTATTGCAGCCCGTTTCTGTTCCTCCAGGAATCCCTCAAGCCATTTGTAGGCGAGGCTACCCATGCGTGGCTGGGTCCAATCAACGTTGAGGACACTTCCTCTCTTCCATTTGCCTGGGTCACTGGCATCCACCTTCAGATCCATTAAGTACGCCATGGTTGCTGCCATCGGTCCCGTGACCAGTGGCCAGTGGTGTTTGGCCGCACTCAACCTCTTCCAAGTGGTTTTCCAGGCCAAGTCAAAGTGGGCTTTTCCGCCACCAATCCATGCACGGAAAACTTTAGCCACCACCTTGAAATGCTGCTTGTGGATTGTGCTCTTCGGATCCTGGCATTTCTTGGCTCCCATGTCCAAAATGGTTTCCAAACTACCAAGCTTGTATTTGCCCAGGTGTTTTCCAACCACTGTACGGAGCCATTTCATTCTTTTGGGTGATACCCCCACTGATGGGTGCCCCCACAGAGCCACGGATGTGATCGCAGCCTTAACCACGCGGAGTTTAGTGCTGGGCGGCGGCCCCAGCCTGGACAGCTTGCTTTGTCGTGCGTGTGCTTTTTTCGCCCGCGTGGCCGACGTCACCAAGCGACGCTTTCTCCCACCTGTACTGTCGACGCCCAAGTCACGCATCACGTCGTACACTTGCGGCTCATGCGGTAACAGTAGTCCTCGCAGGTGCTTGCTCGCCTGGGTACTGCTGGCTACAAACCCTGTCTTCTTGGATGAAATCGTGAAACCATTGGCGTCCATCCCGTCCTTTAAGCTGCGGTAGACTCGTATCGCACTATCCGCCGCTTGTTTAAAGGATTTATGCTGGATGTCAATTGAGACATCATCCAACCAACAATCCACATTTGTCACATCTCTTCGCCTTTGGATCTTATCAATCACCGGGTGCAATGCCACCTTTGCCAACGATGGCGCCGCTGGGCAACCCGCTTGCACGCCATTCGTAGCTCTGATGCCTGCCGATAGCACCCCATCCGCCACCAAATATCTGGCACCCATGTACACTTCCAGTGCCATCTTCAGGATTAGCGGTGGATATTGCAGGGCCGTTGCTGCCGTGATCAGTTGCTGAAATTGGATGGTATCGAAAAAGGACTCAAGGTCCACAAAGAGTGACACCACATGCACACCATTTGTCTTCGCCACCTCATTTCGCAGCAGTCTGCCTACGGCCACGTCCAAGCAGCAACTGCCTGGGACTGCCTTGTCGTACGTGGCATTTTTGGCATAGCCTGCCTGCCAAGTACTTACCAAATCCCATCGCAAACGGACCCAGGTCCTGTACAGGATGTGTAGCAAGGCGATTGGTCTTTCCCGGGTCAGATTCTTCGGCAGCATTGCTATAAGGGAGACTGTCATTTGCTGCGGCCATGCTGCCTTGGCCTCACATTCATGGTAGAAGGACACAACGGCTTCAACTGCTTTGTCGTCCATGGCCTGCAAATGGTCAATCCTCCAGCCATCCGGCCCCGGGCTCTTTAGTGCCAGTTTTTTGATCCTTGCCTTGACCTCTACAGTGTTCAGCGGCTCCACGCTGGCCGCTTGTTTTTTGGCTGCATCCTCAAGCTCCGTCATGAGCGAGGCCGATTTTGCCAACGGCTGGCCCTTCGTCCACACTGCCGCCCAGTGGTCTCGGCGAATGTGTGGCCGTTCCAGCATGTCATATTCCATGTAGGGTCTTTGTACCACTTGTTCTTCTTTTCGCAAGGCATTGTATAATGGTCGCATGCCCTTTTCCATGGCCTTGCTGAGCCATTGCTTGTACTGGTGGGCTGTCTCCTCCATATCCGCCTTTCTCGCGTAGCATTGCTGTTCGTCGATGCGCTTCAGAACAAGTCTAGCGTCCGTACCCCGGCCCAGGATACTCACGAGCATATCCTCCTGGTTCTGCGCATCACCCTCGTAATACTCGCCGAGCCTGCGTTGGACCAGACGCGCCACCGGGTGCGCATCGCCATGATGTCTGCCTTGTTTGACCCATTGTTGGACCCGGTTCCAAAAGGCCGCCCTCTTGCCTGTCCAGACAACGTTCTCCGGGTTGTTGACCACCAACTTCTTCCGGACAATCTCCGATTTAACACCCATACCGTCGATTCGGCCTGTGATCGACCTCTCCACACCGGCACTCAGGTGAGCGAATGTCTCACTGAGCTCATCTTCCATCTTGGGTTCATCCAAGATGTTGATGGTCTTTGTGTTTTGAACTGGTTCGTATTCCACAGTCTCCGTCACCAGTGCTCCCGCCTTCTTCATCTGGGGAACATCAGGGCTACTGCACGGTTGGGCTACCCTCCAATGCATCGCAGCATGAGGCCGAAAAGGGGTTTCCCAATCCGTTTTCACTTGCAGGATGGGCACCAAGCATTTCGCAACCAGCCCGTAATCGATTTCGTCCGATCCTTGGGCCGTTGGTTCCCCCACTCCAACAAATGCACCACCAACTTCTGTCGCCATAGTTGTGCCCCTCATGGTATCCTGGGTTTCATTCCAATCTCCTAACACCATGTATGGCACTTTGCAGCCTTTGAGGAAGGCTATCAGTCTCGCCAGTACCTGGACATTGTTTGGAGCCTGGAATCCGACTCCGCTCTCCAAATACAGGCTGACGATGATCAAATCCCAGCCTTTGTTTCGCATGGCACATGCCAGGAAGCCCGCGGGTCCTGAACCAAACTCAGCAAGGTATCGCAGGTTCCTGTGTCGGGGTGCCGCCACTGCCAGGCCTCCTTGCACACCCTTAATTTTTGTACTGCCAGGCATGCCAATGAAGGTAGATCCCATATCCTGGCAATGGCTCATGGCTTGCTGGATACCCTCTGTCCTGAGATGGGTTTCCTGCAGCACCACCAGGTCCGGTCCTAGCTCGTGTATCCATGCCGCAATGGGTTTTCTCCAGCTGGTGATGTTAGCCGCCGTAATCCTGATACATGCGGCCGTATCCCCTTGGCGATACCCCCTGGCCACGTCTTCCAGGATCCATTTGGCATATTGTGCATCCTTCTCCACAAAGGAACGGAGCACTTCGTGGCATGCTCGTTGTTGCAGCGGGTTTAGATCTTGCTCTTCCAGTTTTTCAATGGCTTCGAGTGCGGTAGCCTCACTGGGAGCATCATATTGACCCACCACTTGGCATAGCATGTGCCACTCCTGTGGCAGTTCCTTTGGTGGCTCTTTTGGTGTCGCGTTACGCCTCTTGGTCTTTTGTTTGCCTCTGTGACCCTCAGCGCATTGCGAGGCCGAAAACCTTATTTCCTCAGCGCCATGCGAGGCCTTCGTGTTCTCCCCTCTTTCCGCTGCCGGGTCTCCTCTCTGCGTTTTGCCTCCCTCAGCTTCTCGCGAGGCCGAATGCTCACCTTCCTCTTCGATGTCCTCCCATGTCATATGGAAGTATCTGGGCCCTGTGACCGTCCAACTGCTTTCTACTGTTCGGACAGGCTCCGGACCTTTCGTGACTGGACTCCAGCCCTCTTGGCTGTCTTCCACTGTGCTGTTTGTACTAGGCACATGGGTACAAGACACAGCTTGACTGCCTTCCCCATGCGCCTGTGGCCATACAATGTCCCCGTGACACTGCTTTCGGCCACCACCAAAAGTGTAAACAGAGTCTCCCCATTGAGACTCCTCAGACTGTCTTGCTTGCTTCTTTTGGCTGTTCGGACCAGGAGCGACTCTGAGGTGTCGGCCCCTCCGCTCCTGTCCCAGCCTGAGGCTTCATTCGCCATGGGCACGCGCCGGCGAGCGTTCGCGCCCCGTCGGTGTTGCCCTGACTGACACATCTCGAGACATGCGCATCGGCCCATACATGCCAAGTTCGGCTGGCATGCCTGGCTCTCTTGGTCCCAAGACTCCAGTCCAGTCTGTCTCCACGACCTTGACTGCTATCCTTGTTTTGAGCGCTTCCGCTTGCTCGTCGGTCAGGATGATCCCTTCCTTTTCCAAGTAGGACGCGACGTCCTTGTACGGCGAATCCTCCTCATCTTTCACACAGGCTTGTACCTTCCTCTGTGCTTCCGCAACCTCAAGCTCCGTGGTCTGAATGGCCTGGCTGACTTGCGCAAGCTGCTTCATGGCCTGCTCGAACTCGCTCTTGATCCTTTCCGTTTTGTCTTGAAGCCGGACTTTCTTCTCAATGAGGGATCTCAGCTTGTTTGTGGTCTTCTTATATGCACCGACGTGGCGGCTGAGCTCCTGCTTTGGCGTCTCGTCCTCAGGCTTGTAGTCCCCTGGAGGGGGAATGCCCGCTGCTCGGAGCAGCCGTTGTACTGCAGGCTCAGCTCCTTGCCACACCGTTTCAATGGCCGCGTGGTACTCCTTCTGCGACATGCTTTCTGCTTGCGATCCATCGCCAGGTAATCCCGGGGGCCAAATTGGCCCCGGCTCCATCGTCCGCGGCTTCCATCCTGCTTCTTCGATGGCCTTCTTTGCCTCCATAGAAAGCGTACCCCACGCCTTCGTGAGGGCTTGGTCGGCCATCCCTTCTTTGTTCTTGGCATGTCTTGTCCACCATGTAGCGTATTCCTTTGGCCATTGCCACTTCTTACGCTGGCTTGACCATGCTCGCTCACGGTAGGTGGCCTTTTTCCACGCCTTTCCGCAATGCCAGCAGTTCGGGTTGTAGTACAAGTCTTCATTCCAGACCCAACCCACCTCACAGTGGGCACACACAGTACAATGCTTCCCCATGACTGCTGCAGCCTGATGCCAGTCCCACCAGCACCTCAGCAATGCGAGGCCGGAAGATCCCCTCAACCGTAGTGAGGCCGAACTTTATGTGTCCTCAGCCGGAGCGAGGCCGAAACTGGCCACTCCCTCTGCCGAAGCGAGGCCGAAAACACACCCTCTGCCGAAGCGAGGCCGAAAAGTTCCCTCAGCACTTGGCGAGGCCGTACTCAGGCAGCTATGTTGCTTGCAGCCGACTACCAAGCAAACACAGTGGTTTCGGTTTGAGTCCTGTTGGAGCCCACCCTTAGGTACAGTCTCCAGGCAACAGCACTCCCTACCTGAGCACCCCACCGGGGTTGAGCCGAAACTTGAGCCAAGAAAGAGAAATTTCCTTTCCTCCACCTCTTGTACCAGTACTCCTCCGCGGACCATCCCTTGGGGGCGTCCTAGGTGACCTTGGCCTCGGTCCATCCAGCGGATCACCATTGTACGAAGACGCACCTGTCCCCATGACGGCATTTCCCAGACTGAGCAAACTGAATACACCTTACACCAGTTGCGTCGTGCGAGAACTTGCAGTCCTCTCCAGCGTAGCAGTGTCTCCCAGCCACATAATATTTGCACCAATACGATTGTAGCACCACATCATCCTTTGAATGGATGAATTTGCAATTCTCACCAAATTTGCAGCTATCCTTTCCCCTGCTGAACCAATAGCAGATGCCTTTCTTCCTCTTCTCCAGACGCTCCGCTTCGTAACGGTCCATAGGGCGATTCTGCTCTACACGGACATTGTCATGTACCTGAGAACTGCTCCCTTCACCCAAGGTGCTATCAATGTTTGATGCATCAAGAACAGCTGGAAAACCTGGCCTTGGTCCTATCACCTTCATGATTGGTTTCCCACCAGCTCCTGAGCCATTCTGAGAGGATCCACAAATATTGAGCATTTTCAAGAAGGCTTTTCTAGTGCCGATCTTCCGAACCTTTTTGATTGGATGATTTGCTGCTCCAACCTTGAGTCCAGATACATTCGAACGACACAACCTCCTAAACCCGGCTCTATACCCCTTTTTCCAAAAGAGCCATAAGAATTCTAGAGGCAGTTACATTCTCCACCTCTACCTTTTCCAACTGTCCCTCACTTTCCGGAACAAACCCATCCAACACATTCATCTCTGAAGACGTTTCCATCTTTTTTGACATCACTCCATCGAGATAATCTTCCGAGATCCAGGGCAAGTTCCTCTTAGAGGAAATCAAGTCATCACCACCATTCGGTCCTTCGCCAGGATACCCTTTCGTACTGTCAAAGATTCTCCACAAGAGCATCCTTGCGCCAGAAAATCTTGACGAACCACTGGTTGTTTCTTCTTCTGGGGCAATTTCTGGCGCTTTGCCATCAGCTCCAGTATCACCAGTCAGTTCACTTCCAGCATCCTCTATAGGAAGAAGGATTTCATTGATCCCTTGTCCAAGAACCGCCTCTTGCTGTCCAGAGATCTCCAGCACCATCCCTGAAGGATCCACTTCGACATCAGTATCGTCCATCCTCTTCCACAACTCCTCCAGCTCATCTGCACACGTAGCCTCTTGAAGGAACTCCATAAGCTGATCCTTTCCACGTTGCCAGTGAAATTCCGAGTTCACCACAGTCCCTTGGCCTCCCGCAACCAGGAACGGATGGACCAGTTTTGCTACCCTGGCCATAAGTTCAACATGTTCTTCCATGCCTGGAATCCGGCTCCAATCGTAAGCTATTGCTTCCATCGCCGATCCAAACTTTTCTGTGTTTCTGAACTCATTCTCGATGCCAGGAGATAGCAACACTCCCATCACTGACAGTGAATAATTATCCACCGCGGGCAAACACGGATTGTCATGGAATGGATGATGCAGATCACCGTAATGTCCCTGCTCCCTCCTTTCATTCAGGAGCCTCCCAGTCTCCAACTGGCCATTCAGTTCATCAATCTGAATCATCTCAGCACATATTTTTCGCGCTGATGCCGCAATTGCGGTCCATATAGCACGATCTGCCACACCACGACGCACAACCCACTCGGTCATTGGTGACTGTATCAACGTTCGTGGGTCATACACCTGTAATACTGCACCATCTCCCATTGAGGAGCCAGCGTTGTCCATCATCTCCAGACTCAACTCTTGTTCACTCGCGCCGTCCGAAGATCCTTTCGGACAGTCCTTCTGTCCAACGGGTATCCTACCCTCGGCAGCTTTCCAATAGATCCGCATCAGCAGACCTTTGGTCAATAGTTGCTCATGGCTTTTTTGCACCATACAGACAGCAAATTTTTTCATGCCATCCTCGTGGAGTCCATTGCTCCCACCTTCACCATCCTGTTGCCCAGTCTCTTCGCCAGAAATTTGTCCTGCTCCTTCTAGCACCGTCTCCTGTCCAACCACATCTTGCCCAGGTAGAACTTGAGCGCTTTCAGATACATTCACCTGTCCAGCAACGCCTTGCCCAGGTAAAACCTCATCTGTGGAGCCCACCACCAGCGAACCATCACCAACAGAACCATCCACGGTCCCATTTGAGACTGCAACATTTTGGTTTGAAGATGTTGACACCGAAAAATCTTGGCGGGTCTCCCCCCGCGACGCTTTGTCGCGTTCTTTGCCAAGATCAGTTGATTTTTGATGCTCTTCATTGGAGCTTGGAGAACCAGTAAGTGGAACATTGCCACATGTCTCAGTTCTCTGTAGTTCCCTTTCACGTAGAAAGGTTTCCCACAGGTGTCTTGCGGTACTAGTCTCTTCCTCGCTTGAATCACCTGAGGACTCGGCATAAGAGACCAAAGCCCCTGCCTGATCGTCATCATCCACCACATCTGCCCATGCTCTGCTAAACCGATACGACAAACCACCACGAGGAGGCTGCAACGGCTTCGGCTTTTCCACCACCTCTGCAGGCCGCACACGCCGATTTGAAGAAGAACGCGGTACCTGTCGGACTTGTCGTCGATCCAGCAACGGTCGCCCTCTCTTTACAGGGTTTGACCTGGACCTGTAAACCTTTTTTGGTGGGTTCACCGGCGGCATTCCAACCCCCACCAATTGAAGCTTCTGTACGCACAGCGGAGACCTCTGCGCAAGCGTCCAAGCGTCACGGTGCTTGCCCTTGTCAAAAAGCTTTCGATAGGACCCTCGCGGCATCGCTTTTGTACCGGAACCTTCAGCTTCACGCACTTGAGAGAGGGTTCTCACCGCATCTCTTCCAGCTTCATTGCTTCCAGAAGATTGTTGCAAACGTACAGATGCATTGGAAGGAACAGCCTTCTCCGGTGCCCCCGGGCGGTATCGGACACCACCCACCAGTTTCAGAATTTTGCAGGCTGTAACCTTGCTGATCCCTCTGTCGACCAAATCTTCCACAAAGATGTACTCCTTCAAGTCCGACACGTTGGTCACACCAAGTGTGATCATTACCTCACTTACATGAGGGGTATACACCCAAAGGTGTTTGTTGCGAGCCATCCAATTTTCTATTGGCTCCTCTGGATTTTGAAGCAGCACATCAGTGGACTCTGCCACCGAATTCTTTTGTACATCATCTTCTGCTCCATCCAGCGTATCCACCTCACCTTCTTTTTGTGACACATTGGTCATTTGCAACGCTTGTGGTGCTGAGGAGGATGAAGATTCAGCTCCCCCACTTGCAGGTGGCTGAAAAGTACTCCTGTCCGAAATCTCCA